CTTGCATTTACAGACCTGTTAAGTAGCTCTGCTTTGGTTCCAAAGGTTGTTGACATTTTTCTGTTTAACCATTATTATATTTCCTACAATGACTGCTTGACTTTCCTGTTTTTCTGCTTTACTTTAATTTTTATGCAAGGTTTTAATCTGGTTGTAATGTCCTTTGACAGAGTCATGGCTATCATGTACCCTCTGCACTATCAAATGAGAGTGAGCCACAAGCTCATTTTATCTTTGATCGCTTTTTTCTGGCTTCTTGCCATAACTCTTATACTCATTGCAGTTGGCCTTCTCACAAGACTTTCTTTTTGTAAGTCTGTTGTTATTCAGAGCTACTATTGTGATCATGGTCCTATGTATCGTCTTGGCTGCAATGATAATACTCCCAATCATGCATTTGCTGGTTCTGCACTAGTTATAATTCTTGGGTTTCCACTTGCATTTATCGTGGGAAGTTACTGCTGTATTGGCTATGCTTTGTCAAAAATTTCTACATTTAGGGAAAGGGTGAAAGCTTTCAAAACCTACACAGGTCACCTTTCATTAGTGGCAATTTATTTCCTTCCATTTACATTTGTGTATATGTTTGGGGGTGTAATACATCCAAATGCTAGAATCATAAGCCTTTCTATTAGCACTGCATTGCCTCCCATGTTAAACCCGATTATCTATGTTCTTCAGACACAGGAGATCAAAGAGTCATTAAACAAGTTGCTGAAAACTCGAGTTACATCCAAAATTGCTACAAAATATTAAAAAAGGATTTAGACTTGAATGTCTGCAGTGCCCTCTGTCATCTGATGTAAAAGATTTAGTCTTTCTGTGACCAAAGAGATTCTGCTCCTCTGAATTTTTAAGGAGTAAGATGTAGACATTATTTTAACCTTAGTCAGTTTTAATAGCAGCAATCTTCATTTTTCTTTGAATTTGTTGTTTCAGTATCTGCGTGTGCCACTGTTATGTTACTATTATAGAATCTAAATGACCATAGAATTGAAATTACAAGTTAATATAATTGAAAAAGAATATTCAACAATAAAAATATAAGTGAAGTAATACCAGAGTAATTTCTCTTGCATGACCATCTTAAAATGAAATTGTAAAAGCTGCTTTCCATTATAATCATTTATTTTTTTGAAGTCGTACAATACCACGTGTCACATATTAAAAAAATGCGAAAAATACAAAAAATATATCGATTCTCACATTAAAATATCAATGTTTTAGTAATTTAGATTAAATTTGTAGTTTGTCATTAACAGGAACACAGTGGAAAGAAACTAACATTCGGATT